AAAAAAAAAAAAAAAAATGTAACGCACTTGTGGTTAAGCTTGGCAGAGTTCAGTCCCTGGGACTCACAGGGGGAGGAGAGGACCAACTCTCACAAGGTGTCCTCTGATTTCTACACGAACAGCATGCCACATTTGTGCAGTACGCACTCACACACACAAACACACAGACACCTACAAGAAAAATAATGTTTTTAAAGTAAGTCAACTCATGTTTTCACTTAAAAAAAATTAAGACATGGAGGGTCTCTCGTACTACAGGCTGGACTCAGTCTCATTATGAGCTAATCCTACTGATTGCACTTCCAAAGTGCTGAGATTACAGACATGTGCCACCACACCCAGAGTGTCGTGCATGTTAGGCAAACACTCTGCTGGGCTACATCCCCAGCCCCAATTTTTACATAGTTTTAAAACTTCGCTTAAGCTTTGCTTAATGATTAGGGGTTGTTGTGAATTTTGCCCTTTGAGCAATGAAAAGCCACAAAATCAGATACACAACCTTTCTAAAGATACACAAATACAGCTCATTTGAAGAAGACTGGAACACAGATCTCGGGTGTTACTCTGGTCTTTCTATGTGTCTATCTAACTCCAATTCAGTCTGGCTCACTGCATCTGTGGTACAGTTACCAATCCAGCTTGTCTTCAGAGGGGAAGTAAAGCCTCGGGCTGCCAGTGGCAGTGATGGGCTGGGTCTTCCTGCCACCTCCAATACCTTCTCCATCTGAACGAAAAAAATTCAGATTCAGACTGACTGAGATGAAATGAGCATCTGGTCTGTTCACTGTACACATGAGTCCATGGGCCTTCCAGAACCTTCATGTATACCCTTCATCCTCTGGAACTAATTATTTATTGGAAACAGTGATGCCCAGTAATGAACTATGTTCCTGAAAGGGTGGCTCTCAGATCAAGCTGAGTAAGTGTGAGAAATGTCAATCCTGGTCTTCCCAGCACATGCATTAGGAATGTGGAGACAAAACACTCAGCTTCCCCTAGGCTTCCATTCTCTGATCTTGGCCTGGCCCTGGACTAAAGCTAAGAAGTGCTGGATGAGTGAGGTGGGAAGAGAGTTAAAGGCATTTTGGAGGACAGCAGGGACTCAAAATCAAAGCCTTGAAGGGTCCCTAAATCTAACCCATGAAATCTTAGCAGCAATAGCAGCAGCCTCTCCTGGGAACTTGGTAGCAATGCGTGGACTCAGGACCAACAGGACTTACTGAGTAAGATTATGC